ATACTGATAAAAAAAAGACACAATTTTAAAAAGACACCTTTAAAAAGTGAAGTAACAAGCAGCATAATAGGAGGAAATATTTGCTATGTGATGAAACACTAGTATTTAAAAATATATAAAGTATTATTACAACTCAATAGAAAAGAAAATGGCAGAATTAAACTGTGGACAAAAAAACCTGACAAGACATTTTACAAAAGAATATAAATGAATACCCAATAAGTACAAAGGGAAAAAATGTTGTCAAATAACAATCATGCAGGAAAAATATAAATTAAAACCACTTTCACTAGTCTGAAAAAATATAATACCTAGAGATAAAAGTATCGAATATTATGAAATCTTCTACATGATTTCTCTGATAATCAAATTTCTCTGAAAAACAGAAAAGCAAACTCCTAAGGAAGAGATTTATAACAAACTCCTAAGAGATTTATTAATAACGTACAATATATAAGTAACCAGTATAAATGGTAGTAAACGTCTGACGGAAAAGCTTGATAGTGATAACTAGATCTCAAACAGCTGCCAGACCACAGTTCTTCAAAATACGTAACATACCCTAAAGGAAAAATCAACAGCTCTTATGTGCAAAAATGGAAACAACGCATCTATCTGATTACTTGAGTTTCCTTGGACAATTTTACACCAAAAAATAGAGAACGAAGAAACACACAGATGCACTGTGTTTTCAGAAAAAAGGTTACAGGCACAGCATCTACACTGAAAACAACCATAATGCTTCTGATTTCTGTCACATGAGCACGAATAAAATTTACAGAAACTCAAATGTAAGTGGATTTTTCTGCTGCTCTGGGACATGCTATGAGCATCATATAACTCAACAATCAAATAGTTAATCCAAAAAGAATTCAAGATATTCAAACACTGAATAATAATTAGCATAGAACAAGGAAGAATGTGAAAGAAAACACCAGAAAGATGCTGGCACTGAACAAATAAAATTATATTCAAGATTATTCCTATGATTTACCATCACTCAATAAAACAATTTCTACTAAAAAAAATAGCTTAAGGCAAAAACAAACAGCTTTGAAAAGATACAGCACAAGTCAATATAGAGATGAAATACAAACTCACAAAGCTTGAGTGTGAAAAAGAAGAGTGAACCATAACTACTAGAGGGGCTACCCACAACAAAATCAGAATTTCAAATGCTAGTCATCAATAAAAACGCAGAAAAGCATGAGGGAAACAGGACTGAAAAAAAAACAAAATTAGAAGCTAGAAAGGATTAGAAGTAAGATGATACCCAGCAAGAACAGATAAAAGCCATCTAACAGAAATAAAATCGAACAAAAAGCAATAGTTTAAGGTTTCCAGGAAAGGGAAGGAAAAAAAGGCTCAAATCCAAAGACAAGTTCCAGGAAATGTCAACAAGAAAGGTTCTGGTTGAACTGCTGGACTTTACAGAAATAAACAAAATCAAAAATCTAGCTTCTCCACAGAAATATTCAACACAAAATACAGTGGTACAATGATAATACAGATTCTGAAGGAAAGAATAGGTGATCCAATTATATATCTGGGCAATTTGATATTTAAGTATTAAGCTGACAGAAGAAATAAAATCTAATGGTCAAGAGCTGGACTTGTGAATTCTAACTTTACTTCTGCCAATTTAAATGCAGCTTCAGAAATGCTGCTTAACCCAGTGGGCCTTGAGCTTCCTCAGCTCTAACAGTTATACAGTTAAAGTAAATACCTCATAGGGCTCTTGTATTTTTAAAAAGCTAATTCATTTAAAGCATTCAGAACAGTGCCTGGACTATTTTAAGTGCTTGTGATGGTTTGTATCTGGGTGTCCCCCAAAGCCTCATGCGGCCATGGGGCAGGCTTTTAGAGTTTGATTGATTATGGGTGTGAGAGCTACACCACCCTGGGGTGGATAGTTTGCATATGTAAGGGAGAGAGAAAGGGTGCTTGAGGCCATTCCTGGCTTTTGTGCTTGTTGCTTTGCTGTGTTCTGCTGCCATGAGCTGTAGCTCTCTGCCATGTGCCAGTCTGCCTTGTAATCTGCCAAGTATGGACTGAAACCTCCGCAAACTGTAAGCGAAATAAACCTTTCCTTCCTTAATTTTGAGAGAAAAGTAACCAAGACAGTGCAATATGTAAATGTGCTACTATTATCAGTAGTACTGTTTTTATGACAATATTCCTGAACACTCAAGAATGTAAGGAATGGGCAACAATATAAATGTTAAAGTTATAAGCTCTAGAATAGTATTTCTTCTCTAAGAACACTGTTTCAAATAGAATAACCTCGGTCAACACTGTAACAACCACTCCCTGGAGTGGCTGCATCATCCGATTCTCAGCATTGTAGTGTAAGAGATCTCTTCAGAGAACCTACTACAAACCAGGTATTAGAACAGAAGTTTGGGGGGCTGGGGATTTAGCTCAGTGGCAAAGCGCCTGCCTGGCAAGTGCAAGGTCGTGAGTTCGGTTCCCAGTACCGGAGAAAAAACCAAAAAAAAAGAACAGAAGTTTGTTCCTACTTCACCAGCCCCTGGTATCTTCTTTGTCAGAACTCTTCTCTAATTTTATTCACTTGGGGCTGGGGATTTAGCTCAGCGGCAAAAGCGCCTGCCTGGCAAGCGCAAGGTCGTGAGTTCGGTTCCCGGTACCGGAGAAAAACCAAAAAAAAAAAAAAAAAAATAATTTTATTCACTCCCACAGGTGACCACATTCAGTCTCTCGGTTTCAATTACCATCTATACACAGGTGACTGTCAAAGATGACAGTAGCAGAACACTACTCTCATATTCAACTATCTGGCATTGCCATTTGGACACATCTCATAACTGCTGTGTCCAAACCTGAGTTTCTGATCGTATCTAAAAAAACTCTGCTCCTCCTAAAACCCTGACTCTGCAAATGCATTCTTCTAGTCATATAGGTGACAAATGCATTCTTCTAGTCATATAGGTGAAACACCTTGGAGTTAAGATTCTCTCTCACACTCAATATCATATCAATCAACTTGTTCTATTGGTTCTATTTTCAAAATGTAACAAATATAACTATTTCTCATCCTTTTCATTATAACTGCAGTGGTTAAAAAAAAAAAAAAATTATCATCTATTACTGTGATTACTGGCACTGGTTTCCCTATTCAGGGCCTTCTTCAACAATCCAAACTTGAGTAGAGACAGACTGATCCTTTTGAAATGTAAATCAGATTGTGTCACTTTCCTGGCTCAAACCTCTTCAATATTTTTACTCATGAATAGTAGACGTTTAAGTTCCTGAACTATGTCACAATGCCTATACAATCCTCATCCATACAACCTGACAACTCTCTACTACTGACTCATATGATCCAGCTACACTTAAGTCTTTTACCATCAAGCTTACCACAAATGTTCTAAACTCGAGTTTTTTCACTTGCTATTCCTTCTGTCTAAAATACCCCTCAACCTCAACCTCCTTTAGATCTCTGTTCATATCACCTCAAGGAGAGGTCTTCCCTGAATATCCTATTAAAATAGCTGCAGCACTCCTTTACTCCCTATTTCTCTTTTTCTGCACATACCTAAATGTTTTTCAAATGTCTGTTTCTTTCCATTAAAATATAAATTCCTTGATAACAGGGATTTTTGTTTGTCTCATTTTAATGTATCTCAATGTGTGTGTGTGTCAGGTACACAGTAGGCATTTAATAAATTTTGGTTAAAAGAACATAAAAAAATTCAATTACCACTGTTAAGATCAGGCACTCTATAATCTCCGCCTTGGAAAATCTTTCTTTCCTAACCTCTTGAGTTCCTTCCAAATCTCCTTCGTACTTGCCTCACTGAAGTTCCCATGTTCTGAAGATTCCTCTATTTTTGCAGACCTATTCTGCCTTTACTTGTCTCCTACTCATTCTGGTCCCAATGGACATTCACATCAAATGTGCTTTTGCTTAGATAACATTACTCACGTTCTACCAATCACTAACCCCTTTCTTCAGTCAAGTCCTATTCTCAGATTCTCACACTTTGTTGGACAGTTATGCTGACTAGTTGCCCTACGTGTATCCAACACTACAAGGAAAATTTTGCCACTCTAAAACTCATCTTGTAAGGTGGCTGCAAATCCAGTTTATATTCCCTGACTTTCTACTCTATAGATAACCTCCCCTCAACTCACTGACTGTACCCTTTTAATACTATTTCCTTCCATACTGGGCTTCATTTTCTTTCACCAATTAGCTTTATTATACCGGTAAACTCTCCACATTCTTCCTCTTAAAGACAGGGTTACTCAGATGAAACTATTAAAACACTGATTTAGCAATCAAGTATCAATTCTAGCTAATGATCTCACTTTCTTCTTTCTAAAGCTAAACAGTGGCAATATGATCCATCTTTACAGTCTCCACTTCTCCACAGTCCACTCTGACAATCTGGCTACAGCCCTCATTTGGAGTTCAGATCAGCAACTCTTGAATCACAAAATCAAACAGCCCTCTCTGAGGCTCTCTGCTTATGTGACACTACTTACCAACTATTCCTTCTTTCTTGTGATTCTACACTTTAATCTTTACTTTCTTCATACTTTCTGTTGACTAAATCTATACCAGCTTTTTATCTTATTTATCTTATTTTTACCTTATTTTTATCTTATTTGAGTCACACACATTCCCCTCAAAGATGTGAAGGTTTTTCTTACACACACACACACGTAATATACTCTTCAAAATGTTACTTACCTACCCCCATGACACGACGTCAGAAACAGAATCAAACAATGTCTTCTAACAATTTTAGAGTATTTTATGAAAACTTTTTATTTTTTCTAGACTTAAGGGATTATTTACTTACCTGGTGAATTATACCATTATTTCATTTACTTCAATTATTAATGTTAAACATTTTTTTCAATATATTTGATGTTTTTATTGCTAATAATATGTCTAAAACAATGCAATTCAGCTAGTGAGAAATAAAGAAATAATGATCTGTAACACTGTTTTTTTTTTTTTTTCTCCTTACCTTCCAATAGTAGCTTTGCCTTCATTTTTCACAGACTGATAAATCTTTCTCTCTTCATCTGAAAGTGTTATGTGCTGAATGAATACTTTACGTTCTGGTAACTCCAAAACAGGCCTTCCTTTAATTTTGCTTGTCTTTGTTCGTCTAAGTGTGATATTTTTAATTAGGGACTGTAAGCGCCTGATCAAAAATAAAGCAAATAATTATGTAACTTTGTATTTTTTGTAAGCTGATCAAACAGGAAACAAAAAGTACATTTTAATTTATTGTGTGGGTCTTTATCCAATCTGATAATTAGGAATATTCTACAAACAAAAAATTGTTATAGTAGGGCTGGGGATTTAGCTCAGCAGCACAGTGCCTGCCTGGCAAGCCCGAGGTTGTGAGTTCAATTCCCGGAACCAGGAAAAAAAAACAAAACAAAAAAAGTTGTTGTAGCAAGTGCATTGCCATTTCCCTTCAACTCCATACCTATTATTGTTTAACCTTCTTATATATTCTTTATTTTTCTTATACTCTTCTCTCCATTTTTACTCTAGTTACTAACCTTTAATTTCTCTGTTGTCTTGTCAACTACATCACCTGACAGTCAACACTCAAATTCTAACCAAGCACCAGTGACGTGCCAAGCATTTTACTAAATGTTCTAAGAATACAAACATGAAAAAGACCCTACCTATGTGAGCCAAAATAAACCTTTCCTCTTCGTAATTTAAAAAATCCAGTCTTCTATAATATGAAAATGAAACACATTACATGAAAATCAAATTTTTAAAAAGCAGTTAAATGGCCCCCAGATAAAAACATGAGAATTCATAAGTGTACGAAATGCCTTCTCAGTACCATAGTCTTTACAGTTCATCCTCAACATCAGAAAAAAAGGGGGCATGTTAGTTCCTTAATTTCCTTAAGAAAACGTTCTTTTCACGTTTTCCCTAATGTGAAATACAGTTTCTTAACTTGGAGCTTAAATAGTTCAAAGTAATCATGTATATAGTTTTGCCAAATAGAACAGTGGCTTTTGAAAGTTTTATCACTGTAACTGACAGTATGAAACACATTTTACTCCATAAAGTAAAAATACACAAACACATTTCACAAAAGTATGCATGACACATTGAAATTTTCTTATCTGTACTACTTCTTTTTTGTTTTAATGACTACAGCCTTTATAATGATTTTATAACCCACTAATAAATCTCAAATCCTCAGTTTATTTATTTTTGCTTTTAATTTTTTTGGTACTGGGAATCGAACTCACAACCTCACACTCACCAAGCAGGTATTGTGCTGCTGAGCTATATCCCCAGCCCAAATCCTCAGTTTAAAAACCACTGATCTAGACAAAAATCTAGAACCACCCAAGCAGAGCACATGTCTACCACCAAATTGAGTTTTCATTCAAGTTCTCAACTCTGTCCACAAGAAAAAACCATATGAAATTTAGATAAACTTTTGAGATCACTGTATATCATTTAATCACTGCCACATAAGGATATATAAGAGCTTATCTAATATGCATTAAATCCCCATCTTCAAAGGACAGTTTTTCCTGTCACTGCTAAATCTGTTAATGATAGCTTTAGGGATAACAGAAGTAAGCAAAGACCATGAAACTATGCCTTTCCTTTCAATTTGACTATATAAAATACGAAAGGGAGGTTACTGATTCAGTGGTACCTCGGTTCACCAACCCTTTTGCTTGTGAACTATCTGGTTCGTAAACAGAAGCATTTGGCAAAATTTTATTTCTGTCTGTGAATTCTGCATCGTCTGACAAACACAACTGCAGCCATCTTTCCCCCACAAACACAAATATGGCAAACTTTTCCCAATTCGTGGAACAAATTAAGTTTGTGATTCAAGGTATCACTGTCATTGGAAATCTTTGTCTCCACAAGTTTCCTGCTCTGAGAATCAAAGTATCTGAAACATGCTCACTTTTTAGAGACTAAAATCAAGAATTAAGTAAAAACAATAACAGAAGAGTAACTACTCTAATTGAGCTAATAAACCAGCTGTCATGAAATTACCTACCTAGACAGCCTCTTTAATTAATGGTGCTGGGAAAACTAGACCCATGCCTGTCACCACACACTAAAGTCAAAACGGATCAAAGATCTAAATATTAAAACACAAACACTAAATCTACTGGAAGAGAAAACAGGTAGAAATCTTGAAGACATGGGAGTAGCCAAAGTTTGTGAACAAAACCCAAACTGCATGTGAAGTACTGCAAAGAATCAACAGCTGGGATCTCATCTTATTAAAAGGCTTTTGCACATCAAAAGAAATCACCAGTGGAGTGAAAAAAGAAAACCCACAGAGTGGGAAAAAATTTTAGCCCACAGTCCCTCAGACAAAGGACTTCCATCTAGAACAAATAAAGAATTGAAAAAATCAGGACCCCCCCCCATCCAAATTTAAAGACCCAATAAAAAATGGGCATCTGACATGAATACACACTTCTCAGATGAAAAAATACATACGGCAAATAAACATACGAAAAAATGTTCAACATCACTGGTCATTTGAGAGATGCAAATTAAAACAACACTGAGATTCCATCTCACTCCAGAAAGAACGGCTGCCATTAAGAAATCAACCAATAACAAATGCTGGAGGGGCTGTTAGGGAAAAGGAACTCTTCTCCACTGTTGGTAGGAGTGTAGACTGGTACAACCACTGTGTTAATCAGTGTGGAGATTCCTCAATAAACTAGGATTAGAGGTCCCATTCAATCCAGCTACTTCCCATTTGGGTATTCTTCCAGAAGAATTGAAAATATCTTACCACAGCAATATATGTGCACCCATGTTTACAGCAGCACAATTTGTAATAGCTACACCCTGGAAACAACCCAAGTGCCCATCCACTGAGGAATAGATAAAAACGATGTATTTTTATAAAATAGAGTACCTCTCAACTATAAAGAAGGATAAAGTTGAGACTTTTATAGGTAAATGGATGCAACTTGAGACCATACTCATAAGTGAAATAAATCAGTCTCACCTGTGTAAACATCATATTGTCTCCCTGATGTAAAAAGCTGAAAGAGTAAGTAAGAGCCAAAATGTACAACAGATACTGGGAAATGAGAAGAGATTGTTCAAAAGAAAAGAGAAACTGGGGTGGGGAAAGGAGCAAAGAACAGGAAAGGAAAAGTAAATAGATAGTTAAGATATCTATACTTCTAATTTCTATTAGTTCATTGAAAAAAAAAATGTACTAACCATTGTTTCTCTCCTATTACGTTGGTTTGAAATTTTGTATCATTGTTTTTAGTGCTTTTTCTCTTTAAAGAAAAAAAATCACTTACCTAAGTCCTGCTTCATCTCCCATTGTAACAGGACGCTGTATTGTTCTGTGCCACCATTCTCTATCAAGAAATGGTTTGAGTTTTAAAAAGGAAAGAAGAGACCACAAGTCCTTTAAGGAATTCTGGATAGGAGTACCTAAAAATGAACAAGAAACTGTTAAAACTTTGATTTTGTTCGTGGGGGGGGGGGTGCTGGAGATCAGACCTGGGGACTCACTCACACTTGCTAGGAAAACGCTCTACATCTGAGCCAGACCCCTAACTCCAGTTCTAACTCTTTCAAACACAGCATTTAATAGGACTATATACCTTTCTTAATCAGAGACAGAGTTGAAAATGGATACTACACCAGCCACACCACTATAAGCTGTGCCTATAATCCTTTGTCAATCATATACAGATTTTGTCAATCAAATAGTTTTGCCCTTTTAGTTCCCAGTTGCCACACTAAGAAAAAGACCACAAATCCAGTAAACTCAACTTTCTCTTTACCAAGTACACTGCTTTCTTAGCTGTTAAGTAAACAGCAGTACCAAGAAAGAAAATGCAACTAATTTGTTTATGCTTTCCTGCCCACATTCTAATAAAGCTGTCATGAGCAGCAAACAGGTTCCAAACTGGGTAACAAAAAAAGAAAAAATCAAAAGTCTCATTAATGGATTAGTGTCTACTCTTTCCTGAAGTTGAAGAATAAAGTACAGTGATTGCTTCATAAACTAACTATAACCCAAAGGTTGTCATATCAGGAGAGATTGAGTGATTATGAGGAACAAGTCAAAACATCACATTAAATGTTTTATGAATAATTTTGGGATAGATATATTCACTTTACGTTTATGAAGTCACACTGCCAAATTAATGATACTTAATTTTTTTTTTTTTTGGTATAGGGTATTGAACTTGTACTTGCCAGGCAGGCACTGTGCCACTGAGCTATATCCCCGGCCCTAAAAAAATTAATTTCTTAAAAGTTTAATATAAGACACTCATTTTCACCGTTTTTATGCAAAGTAGCAGAGGTCCTAGCTAGAGTAGTCAGGAAACAGAAAAAAATAAAGTACACTCTAACTGGGAAAGAGGAAGTCAAATTATCAGTTTACAGATGACATTTTACATTTAGAAAACCCAGCACCCCTATAAAAATTACAAATTCTTCAAAGTTTAGGATAAAAAAAAATCCAAAAATTAGTTGCATTTCTATAAGCCAAGAGCAAATTCTCTCACTCTCTGAAAAAGACATCAAGAAAGCCATCTCGTTTAGAATACCTACCACAAACACAACACAACCTAGGAATAAACTGAAACAAAAGTGAAAGATCTCTACAATGAGAACTATGAAACACTAATCAAAGGAACTGAAGAGAGCACAAAAAAGTGAAAAGCATCCTGTCTTGGTTACTTCTCTCTCTTGGTTTAGGGGGCAAATGCCTGGATCACTGGGCACTCTGAATCCAATTCTGAGGAAACAGTTCATTATGCTGCTTCATGTGATGCCCTCAGGCCATCTTTTCTAGTCTCTTGTTCCTTTTCAGCAATTGAGAAATCCTCGGCTCTACCTTTATACTCCACAGCTTTACTGGAGTTTCCTTGCTGGCCAAACTCAACATTTTAAATTATTCTGCTGGGCTCTGTGCTCTTGATTCTCAACACAGGACTGGCTAAAAGCCTGCAACAATAGCCACGCCACCACCTCAACGTTCAACTGCCTTGAAATTTCTTCTGCCAAATTAATTAGTCTGCTACACTTAACCTCAAGCAGAGTCTCTGGACATGAGCAAAATGCAGACAAACTTTCTGCCAAGCCATAACACACATCATCTGGAGTCCAGCACCCGATGTAGTCCTTCTTTGCAGCAAAAACCTGGTCTTTACCGGTAGCATTTATATCAGTCTTCTGGCCTTTGAAGCTCTGATGGGAATCTCCCATACATAACAGCCTAAGGTGTTCCAGCTCTACTCTTTCAGGCGACATCTCCAAACTCTTCCCATAACCATACCTAAATGCTCTTGAACCACGGTCCAGTATAGTCACAGCAACGACCCCATCACTTCTCTGGTACCAAATTCTGGAACACGGTATGGCCACCGCCATTTTGGAACATAGTAGGGATGCCTCCACTGTGGAACATGGTGCTCTGCAGCTTTCTCCTCAAAACAAAGTCTTTTACTTTCACACACAAGTACCATTTGAAAAAGAAGCATTGTGAAAATGTCCATACCATATAAAATGATCTATAGATTCGACACAATCTTTATTAAAATACCAATGACATTCTTTACAAAACTAGGAAAAAAATCTTCAAATTCTTATAGAAGCAAAAAAGACCCTATATGGTCAAAGCAATGTTGAGCAAAGACAACAAAGCAGGAAGCATTATACTAACTCACTTTAATAGACATTACAAATCTACTAAGTAATTAACACATGACAGTAATGAAACAGTTTAGAGAGAATATAAGTAAACCCACATACCCACAGCCAAATGATCTTCAACAAAGATGCTAAAAACATGCATGAGGTAAAAGACAATCTTTTCAAAAAAAAAAAGTGCAGAAAATATGGATATGCCTATACACAAGAACAAATCTAGACCTCTGTCTCTCACCATTTAAAAAAATGGACCATTTACAAAAAATGACCTGAAAGTAATAAAACTAGTATAAGAAAACTAAGTGAAATGCTTTAGGACACTAGAATGACCAATAGCTTTTTGGATCAAACCCCTAAAGCACAGATAATAAAAGCAAAAGTAGACAAATGGGGATACATCAAGCTACAAAGTTTCACATAAGAAAGAAAACAACCAACAGAGTGATGAGACAACCTACAGAACAGGAGAAATTTCTGCAAACTATATACCAGTATCTGACAAGGGTATTAATATCCAGAATATATAAGAAACACAACTCAATAGCAAGAAACAAAAACAGTGAATAATCTGATTTAAAAATGGAAAATAGACTTACATAGCTATTTCTCAAAAGAAGACACATAAATGAGCAACAGATACTAAATAGAAAATACTCAGTATTACTAATGATCACGAACATGTACATCAAAACCACAAAAAGGTATCACCTCATTCCAGTTAGAATAGCTATCATTAAAAAGACAAACTATAAATGCTGGCAGGACATGGGGACAGGAGAATATTTATATACCAGTGATGGGGAATATAAATATAGCCATCAAGAGCTATGGAAAGCAGTATGCAATATAAAAAAGTTGGTCCTATAGAAGAATGGTGGCTACTACAGGCTGGGAAGAGAGGATAAGGAAAGATTAGATAATCAGTCAGTCAGTCAGTTGGTACTCAGGTACAGTTAATTAGGAGAAATATGTTCTAGGGTGCCATTACACAGCAGGATGACTACAGACAATGATGTTACACTGAACATTTCAAAAAACCAAGAAGATTGGGTTTTCCTCACTAAGAAAAATTGGCTCTGGCAATAAACATGCTTACTCTGAGTTGAAGATTACACAAGTATACTTATTGAAACATCGCATGGTACCTCATAAATACGTGCAATATTTATGTCAGATTTTAAAAATAATTTTAAAAGTGTTAAAGGTAACAAAAGTTTAATGCTAAGATAACCTACCTGTCAGTACCCATCTTCTCTCTGCTTCTAAATCAAGTACAGCTTTGGTCTGCTGAGCATTTGGATTTCGTATGGCATGTCCTTCATCCAAGATCACTCTTAGCCACTTTATGCTATGTAGTGGACTATCACCTTTCGTCTGAAATAAATGATTCATATAAATTAAGACACTCAGCACTGGGCAATAAGATCAAAGCAGTCAGCATCACAATTTAAACTTCAGATGATATTATAAAACTACAGTGATAAAAGCATCATGGCACAAAAGCAGACATGTAGATCAATGAAACAGACCAGAGGATGCAGAAACTCCAAGCACATTCCAAAATCTGATCTTTGACAAAGCGGCCAAAAGCATGCTGAAGGAAAGATGGCCTCTATAACAAATGATGCTGGGAAAACTAGCTCTCCACATGCAGAAGATTGAACCTAGACCCCTATCTCTAACCATGTTCTAAACTAAAATCAAAATGGTTCCAAGATCTACATGTTAAAAGAAACAACCAGCTGAAAAATAAAATAGGTAAAACACTTGAAGCAAGGTGTAAGGCGAGCAAGGACTTTTTGAACAAAAACCCAGTTGCATGAGATATAATACCAAGAATCAATAAATGGGATTACAGCAAATTAAAAAGCTTCTGCACAGCAAGAAAAGAACCAAGTGACTAGACAACCTATAGGATATGAAAAAAAATTGCCCGCTACTACTCAGACAGAAGACTAGTATCTAGAATAAAGAACTCAAACAAGTTAGATAAACCAAAACAAAGCTTAATCAAAACAATAGGCAACTCAAATGAACAGACACTTCTAAGAAAAAGAAGTACAAATGGCCAATAAAATAAATACATGAGTGGTGCCCACAGATTTAAATGAGTTACAAGATCATTGGAAGCGTGTGTGCTGGCACCCATGAACCCTTATTCACATCTTCTGAGGGAAGCTGCTGTCCCTGGCCAGCACATCAGACTGCAAGACAGCTCTGCTGCAGTGAGCAACTGATCGAGAGGACAGTGGAATTTACTATCAGCGCTTACAAACCGGTGGAAAACTTCTCATCCATGGGAATTCAGGCATCTCCAGAAGTGCTGCCTTTGGTATTGCATACATTATGAAAGCTTTTGAAAAGAAGCACAGAGCTGCATTTGCTTATGCCCAAGAAAGAAGCTCTTGCACTAATCCTAATACCGGGTTTGTGCATCAATTTCAAGCAGTCTGAAAAGAACACATGAAGCTGATGATGATTTTGGCAACACACAACTGGCAAGTGCACAAAATGGCTGACTCGAGACGAACATTATACAGGGTGTGAATTTTGATTTGGGAAGAGAAAATACTAAAGATGATAATAATCTAAGATAGGAAAAACTAAGAAGTTTCTTTTCAATTATATGTTGCTTCCAGACACGTTTTTCTGCAACTTGTTCAATGTTTAACATGAGGCTGGATTTCTACAACAGATGGCACTGATGCTTTTACTTTTTTCTTTTAACTTTACGGTTTTGTTATAAACCAAGAATTCTGGACTTGCAAAGAGCAATTAGTGTAATGCTGTACCTTTCATACTTGAAATGTATTTACAAGGTTATTACTTTCCACAAAATACAAGTTGGGGGATTTATAAATTTTGGGTAATTTATTTAAAAAATTTCCTGGGGACTGCTAAAAATTCACTTTGTGTTCTATATTTTACATTTAAAAAATAACTTTACAGTTACATTTTACGATGGAGCCTCTTGCAAAAACATTAACAAAATGCAGGGATCTGCCAGTTTTTAGTATGAAGTCAATAAATTAAGGACCATTTTTTAAAATTCTTGATCCCTTGTTAATTAGCTAACTATCCTTACTTTTACTTCTAATTAATGGTTCCTTATTACCTTCCACAATTTGTTTATGCTATAGGAAAAAAGGGGCCTAATTATCAAAAAAAGATGTTTTGCTTTATAGTATCAGATGCTGAAAAACAATAGCAGTGTTTTGTTGTGGTTTTTTTTTTTGTACCGGAAATCAAACTCAGAACCTTGCACTTGCCTGGCAGGCGCTTGTGCTGCTGAGCTATACCCCCGGCAATGGTAGTGTTTTGAAGTGCCTAAATCTTTTTCATTTTTAGAGACAGGATCTTCCTCTATAATCCAGGCTGACCTCCAACTCGGAATCCTCCTGCCTCATCCTCTCTAGTGCGGGGATTATAGGACAGAAACACATAAATCTTTATACCGAGTTCTTGTGCTGCACATCATCCTCAAAACAGGACAGCGAACTTGCTGTGTTTTCTGTCCTCACCTCTGAAGTCTGGCTCACAACAAAGAAGGGGCTCTCTGCAGTTCCTCCCCAGCAGCCTCCCCGTTTGTCTGGCACTAGCTTCCACCTAGGCAGCACCAAGTGTCATTAAATGTGTTCATGCACTCTGTAACCTGAGGTTACTCGAGCTCTTTCAGTCTTCCCAGAATCTCTGCAGTACAGCGATAATTTTCCTGTAGGGTCCTTGTCATCAACCTTTCCTAAAGGCCTTCAAAATTTCCCAAATGATGAGCATCCTGGGAAGGGCATCTGCTGCCCAGTTACTCCATAAAAGCCTGCTGTACAGACTATCCCCAAAGGAACACTGGTAGATAAGCTCAGCAAAGTCACACCACTCTCCTTCCTTATCCTAGAGGAACTACCACATTAAAGGTGGAAGAACTGCAACGTCAAGTTGGCTGATCAGCGTGTCAAACCCAATGAGGACTTCTCCGAGACAGCTCTGTTCCAGGAAGAGAAGCAGAAACACTAGCTGGACTCCAGCTGTGAGGCCAAGACAAAGCTCCCAATGTCCTAGCACACGCACTTCACATGGGAGACTCCTATGGCCTGGGTTTTGTTTTGCTGGAGGCAGGGTGTGTGCTGAGGGCTGAGAAGGACTCAAGACAAAAGAAGAGATGTATTCTCACTGTCCTCAGTCACTGAACAACATCCCCAGATCTTTTCTATTTTTGACATGGTCTTGCTGGGTTGTCCAGGCTGAGGTGAAGCTTGGGATCCTCTCTTCCTCAGCCTTTTGAGTGCTGGCACTGCAACAAAGACCAAGTCCAGCCTCCCACTGTCTTGTAAAATATTGGTGGTGGTTTCCAGTGTAGAAGACCAGAGAAACCAGAGACAACCAGGCCCTGCTAGACTCTGCTGTCCACCTGGAGCTCTACCTATCTCAGCCATGGCCTTGGCGAAGGTCTCCTCTACCAAGGAGACCATGCTCTCTTCCCCTTTGCTTAAGCCAGATTTTGTTTGTGTTTGTTCTTTCAGAGTTTCCCAGCTGTTTTTGTTTTTTTTTTCACCTTTGTCTAAATAGTACTGAACAAAACATAATAAGATAGTATAGTAGTGTTTTTTTCTAATGAAGCCCCCAAAAGAAAACTGCCTTCCACCATTTAAAAAAATGTTAATCTTCATGGACCTCTAAATTAGTACTGCATATAGAACAGTGAAGAGCTCATAACATTTTTTCTAATTTCTTTTGTTTTTAAACCATAAATAAAAAATGGGCCTCTGAAAGGAATAGGTATTTCTCAGATGAAGAAGTATAACAGCAAACAAATACATTTAAAAATGTACAGCAACACTACACTGATCATTTGAGAAATGCAAATTAAAGCAATACTAAGGTTCCAGCTCACTCTAGAAAGAATGCCTATCATCAAAAAAACAAGCAATAACAAATGCTGGCAAGGTTGTGAGGAAAAAGGAATCCTTGTCCATTGTTGGTGGGAGTGTAACTGGGTACAACCACTATGAAAATCAGTAGCGATTCCTCAAAACATTAAAACTACAAATGACATTTGACCCAGCTATTCCCCTTCTAGGTATTTTCCTGGAAGAGTTACAGTCATCATGCCATAGTGATACTTGCATAACCATGTTAATAGCAGCACAGTTTTTAAAGGCTAAATCTTGAAAACAGGTCATACGCCCGTCAACACAAATGGATAAGGAAAATGTAGTATTTACACACAATGGAGTACTACTCTTCCATTAAGAATAAACTTAAGACATTTCTAAATGGATACATATCAAGACCATAATCCTAATTAAAATAAATTGGACACAAAGTTTAAATATCATATTATTTCTCCTATGTAAGAAACCCAAACTGTAAATAAGGAGCAAAATGGAGAATAGCTATTAGGAAGTAGAATGAACTTCTTCAAATAGGAAGGGAAACGAAGAAGGAGGAAGGGAAGGAAGAGAAAAGGAATTTTTAAAAAATTGGAAGAGAGGTGGCTGGGGATTTAGCTCAGCAGCACAGTGCCTGCCTGGCAAGCGCGAGGTCGAGAGTTCGATTCCCGGTACAGGAAAAAAACAAACAAAAAACAAAGAATTGGAAGAGAAAAAAATGGTAATAGCTCTTTTAAATGGAGAGGAGAAGGGCTGAAGGGAGGGGAGGTGAATGGGGAAAAAAAGAATTAAGACATCATTATGTGCAAGTACAAATTCCCCATGATGAATATGATCATTACGTATTGCAAACGTACTAACAAAAAAACTAAAATTAAAAAATACATGAAAAGTGTCAGATATCTCTGGCTATCACAAAAATGCAAATTAACACTGAGATTCCACCTCATTCCAGAAAAAATAGCTATCACCAAAAAAAATCACCTGATAACAAATGCTGTGAGACTGCAGGAAGAAAGGAACACTTCTACATTGTTGGTGGGAATATAAACTAGTACATCATTATGGAAATCAGTACACAGATATCTCAAAAACTAAGAACAGAAATTCATTTGACCAGCTATTCCACTTCTAGATATTTGTCTGAATGAGCTAAAGACATTGTATTATAATGTTAAATGAACACCCATGTTAATAGCAGCGTAACTCATAAAAGCTAAATCTTAGAAGCAGCCTGTATGTCCATCTACAGATAAATGAATATGAAAATGTGGTATTTAGCCACAGTCGTGTATGTAAAGGATAAATCTGAGTCACTTGTAGGAAAATGGATGCACTTTGAGACCATAATGTTAAGTGAAATAAATCAGACACACAAGCTTAAATATTGTACGGTTTTTCTTATATGAGAAATGCCAAGAATAAATAGAGAACAAAATAAAAGACAGATAATAGGAAATAGGCAAATAGATCTTTTATAAAATGTAAAGAGACCAAGAAATGGAGGGGAGCAAAGGGAACGAAAAATACAATTAAAATATGTTATGCACATGTACCAACTTTCCACAATGAATGTACAAATGAAATAAATTTTCAAAACCCCAGGAAAGTATTATATTTAACACAATTTGCTTAATAATATTGCACTGTTATTATTCTTTAATATCAACACAATTTGCCCAGTACTGCTTTAAGCACTACATATATTAAATTACTGAATATTCACGAGCTTAGTATTACAAGCATTATTACCTGTATTTTACAGCTGAAAACACTGAAGTACAAGGTGCTGGATTGTTACTTAGAAAGAAGTACAGATTATATTCAAACCCAAGAAGTCTTTAGCCTTTTGCTGAGTCACTATAATACATCAAAGTATTCTACCTCAGAATAAGTTATAATGTAAAACTATCAGTTGTGCTTTCTTTTATATAAAAAGCAATGTTTTTAGCAAAAGACTAACATTGTGACTGAAAGGTATTTTAAAGATGTTTTAACTGAACAGCTACAACTACAAACAATTAAACTCTGAAAACAATTAGGAAACATTAATTGCAGCTACAAAAAAGCAGCTGATTTTCAAGCCTTGCATGGTAGCACATATCTATAATCCCGGCATTCTGAGAGGGGCAGGCAGGAGGATCACAAGTTCAGTCCAATCTGGTCAACTTAGTGACTTTAGAGACGCCTTGTCTCAAAATTTAAAAAAATACAGTAAAAATTTTAAAAATGGGTGCAAAAGCCCTAAGTTCAAACAGAAATTTATTTTCAAACATTTAATGTGGATCAAATCATTATGACAAAATCAATTTTCCAAATTAAAAAAATAAACTCATTTTTAAACTGCTCTGTGTGAATGAGTATATATATGTATCTATATAGATACATACACACACACACACACACACACATACACGTATGGATACTAGTTATAATCCATATTTAAAATTTTAACCCAAAATGTTCTAAATGGAACACATTGCCAAATTAGTATAAAGAAGATACAACCTACTAATGTGTTTTTAAAAATCCTGCTGACTTTTTATATATTCATAAGTACTTAGAGATAGAGGAATATAAAAATTTGGATTTTAGAAAACTTTAGAAACTTGTAGTTCTTAAATTCAATCTTTTTAAAAAAATCAACCTTTAAAAATCTCTTCTGTATCAGCATACTTACTCCATAGTCATGAGTTAAAATATTGTACGTAGTCAAAACAATATCTTGTTTTGAAAGCAAGGCTGGATCTCTAATACGATCAGGACCATAATAAACATAAAAATTCAAATGTACTTCTGATTTTATATGTTGTCCAAACTGGTCCTAAAAGAAAATTAGAAATATACAGCAAATTAGTGTGAGGCTTATGTACATAAAAAGTGCTGTCCGGGCAGTCTTGTCACAAACGAAGCTACTGAAATGACATAGAAACAATCTTCCTGCAGTTTAAACTGAAATACTAAGAACAATAATAACTGCACTGCTATATTATCAAGAAAACTGGAACATAATACATTATAAAAACTTTTCCTGGTCCTATCAATGGGCAACCATTTCATTTTTAGGAAAAAAAAATCATGACACTTCTTTCAAACTGAAAGTAAGAGTTTGTAAAATGTAATATTTTAATAAAAAAACTCTTTATAATGCTTTCAGTCAGTTAGTAGCAACAATAATATCAAAATTCAACATTAAAAGACCACCTATTATATACTGTTTTTGTGTTGTTTTGATTTTGTCTTCATTGTTTTGGTTTTTTTTTTTTAGTTTTTAAAATAAAAAAAAGACCATCAACTAGTATTTCAAAGGATATAGAGACTGATTCAAGCACAATATGCATTCTTTCATTTATTTATTGTCGGATTCATTTAATGTATCTACTATATACCAAGTATCAACCACAACAACGGGGCAGCTCTTCTTGAGAACATGATAAATTTTTACAACTGTGCGTAAAATAAATCTTGAGAACCATAGATCTGGAAGATTTTGAGCAAAAGAAAAACAATCATGATTAGGTTGGAAAGGGATGATAGCAGGGAGACCCAGCTGGTAAACTATTACGTGACAGATCACAAAGCCCTAATCCAGAATGGAAGAAGTAGAAAAAGAATGGGAAGGACAGTTGCAAAAGAAAGACACTAAGAAGGGACTGATGGGACTTAGGGACTAATTAAATGTGGCGTATGAGGGAAAGGAAAAAGAGAAAGAGTCAAATAATTCACATGACTGCCTAGAAAAATTGAATGATAAAAGCATAGGGAAGTTTAACATATTTCTGCTGGCTTGAATCAGTGGTGCTCCACGCATGACTGTCCTATTGGGTATCCTGTACCACTGATCTGACTGCTTTTATTCACCTTGTTACTAATAAAATTAGTAATAACTCTATGAAGGGACTAAATATAGATAGGTATATAAAGTGCAATAATGACTGCCCCAATACAAATATTAGTAGTATTCATACCAAGTAAATTATAAAATCAACAAATTGATTTAAATTAAAAGGAATATATACTTGTGAATTTCTTTAAAACATTTTATTCATAAAGGCAGCTGACTTGTACAAAATGTGCAAAACATCCTAACATGTTTGGCTTTTGAGGGGCTACAAATGCCACCCATTTTCTGAGCCATGCACGTACCACTGGTGATTCAAGTCATACGTGCAAAAGAATGAATACACCTGGTGGGATGGGCAGCTAACAAAAGGGAAAAAAAGTAAGGAAATCCGTAAGGAAAATTATAAAATGAAAAGGATAAGATAATATCATTGTAATGGTTGATTCACTGTGTCATCTTCAATAGTTTAGAAGCTTAACTAAGTGACTCAGCAATTCTACATCCTAGAGTGTAGAGGACCCACCCCAGGGTAGGTAGCCTGCTTACAATATATGCGAAAAGGGGCTGGGGATTTAGCTCAGCGGCACAACGCCTGCCCGGCAAGCACAAAGTCGTGAGTTCAATTTCCAGAAGCGGGGGTGGGAGGGGGGACACGACACGACAGTATAAGCGAGGATTCATTTAATGTCCCACCTCACACCCTGCTTTTTGCTCTTGTTGCTTTTGGTGTCTTCTGCTGCCATGAACTGCTGCCCCTCTGCCATGCCACCGTGCTTTGTAGTCAACTGATTATGGACTGAAACCTCTACAAACTGAGCTAAATAACCCTTTCCCTCTTTAACTTTGGGTGCCAGATATTTTGTCCCAGCCATGAGAGAAAAGTAACTAAAACAACCATCCTTAATGACTCAATGAAAATGCTTTCAATTCCTCAATCAAAAGACACAGATTGGCAGAACAGATCAAAAAACAAAAGCCAACAGTACTATAAGGGAAAAAAATTGCAAAACAATATGAAACAGTAAAAATAAAGATTCAGAAAATGTTTGCAACAAATCTGGCTAGGGAATAAATCCAATTTAAGGGAGTTCTGTATGTGAAACCTAAATTAATGAGTGGAAATAAAATGGAGCAGAGCTAATTTGTGGAAGGATTACTTCTAGAACACAAGAATATCAATGTTTCTCAAGAAAGAACCATACTTACCATGTTTCTAGAAACTGTGCTCAGCTATATATGTGTGTGGATATATACATACCTATAACTCAACAGAAAATAAAATAGGTGTTTTTTCATAACAGGTTAAGAAACATGATAAATATCTAGAAATGGGATTGGTAAAAGGAGAAGAGGTGAGAGTAGGACAGATACCCAGGTTTTCACTTTTTTTTTTTTCTTTCTTATGTGATGACAAAAAAAGGGAAAGTAAGTTCCAACCCACTCTTTAGAACATGAGGTCATTTACTTGGAAGCTAAGAAGAGAGTAACCTGTTGAGAGACTATACAATTGTTTCTTTGCCATAAATTCCTACATAACCAACCATTCCTCATTCCTTTCAATTTCTGCATAATCTCAGTAGGAAAAACTTACCATTACCTTTCTAAGTTTACATTATTCAAACTTTTGTTTTCTGAATATAAAAATTATATTAGTAATTTTAAAATAACTCTCCATATACCAAGCCTTCAAAGAACCACAATTATATGATTTATGCTTCCATTAATACCCTCAAACTGCCATTCCAGTATGCATGTGTGCCCCTCCCCAGGACAAACTACACAGAAAACAAAAATGGAGCATACACAGTTTTGTGAGAATGAAAAAACAATGAGACCACTAAAAATTCATTTGGTTCTATGGGGAAACTATACACTAATCACAAGAAGAAACAATATACTAATCAGCTTTCTTTTTACCAAAAACTTGTAATGGAAGTCATGTCACAGACTACATAAAATGAAGAAATACATTAAGTTAATATGTAAGAAATATACAAAGTCAAGAAAGAAATGCTACGTAAGTCAAGTTACTTAAATTCTGTTTCTTTCAATTTGGTCAGCTGGACAATGGAAATAACAGATCTAAGGATTAAATGAGAAAAATCCAGAGGAGCTGAAGGACAAACTAAGCAAATTATGTATCTTTCTCCCGTAGGGGGAACAGAAAGTAGCAAATGCAGAAATACAAACCAAATCTTATGTTAGGACTGATGTTTCTTTCTTCTCCCTACTATAAATATTGCAAAGTACTCAATTTAGCGAATGTAACCCCAGTTCATCTAAAAGATATAAAATGGCCAAGAGTATTTCTAACAGAATGTTTTATCTTATAAGACAAATAAAGATTATATTACACAGATTTTTAAATGAACAGCTTTCAAGACTTACAATCCAGTTGCTTAACACAGAAAGTGGACAAATGATCAGTGTGGTTCTTGGTCTCTCTTCAACATCAGTTTTCTTTGAACTGTCCATGAAAGACGCTCCTAAAAGGACAAATCACTAGTCAGGTATGGTGGTGCACGCCTGTAAACCCAGCACTCTGGGAGGCTAACGCAGGAGGATCCCATGTTTAACTCCAGCCTGGGTAGCTCAGCAAGACACTGTCTCAAAATTAAAAATTTAAATAAAAAGGCCTGGGAATGTGGCTCAGTCTCAAGGCCTGGGTTCAGTCCTCAGTAGCATAAATGTAAATGTAACTAGCAGTGACATATACTCCCGTCCTAATATCTTATCTGTCTTTTTTCTATAACCTGAAATACTTGGAACTAATACTATTTTCTTCATAAGCCCAAAGCAGAAGAGATGGAGCAGTGAGTGGTAAGGAAAACTGAGTGGAATAATGGACTAAAATTTTTCTGGAAATACATCTTTTATCATAAAGTACAAACCCTTACTTTATAATAAAACATGTCAAACAAAACACTAGAGAACACTATCAACGTAATAACCATGCACACAAACATTCTCCCACATTTCCTTAATATTCCTTTTAAAACAAAGAATATCCTGACAAGCTGGTAAACTGTATAACCTTCCTCTGCATGTTTTCATACATATACAAATACATCACACCTATACCATACTCACATTTAAATGACCTTTAAATTATATATTTATATATTATCCACGACTTGCTTTGCTCTCAGTGCTATATATTTTTGAGATTTATGCTTTTAAGTATTTGTGGCTCTGGTGTATTCATTTTAACTGATATACAGCACTGCATGAGTAGACTACAATTCATTTTCCACTCCCTTGTTGAACAACATTTACATTATTTCCGGTACTTTGCTAAAGCTGTGATGTAATAAAAAGCATTTTTGTGCATTTTGTACATATGTATAAATTCTAGGTGGTTTACCTTAAGCTCCTAGGTGGTTTACCTTACCTTTGCTAAAGCTGTGATGTAATGAAAAGCATTTTTGTGCATTTTGTACATATGTATAAATTCTAGGTGGTTTACCTTAAGCTTTGCCTACTTGTTCTCCATCATAATTGACAATCCCCTCCACAGCGCAGGAGAGTTCCTTCTGCTGTACCACCTTATCTTACCTGGTGTAGGATTTTTAAACACTCAAAAAGTGAGATGGCATATTATCATGCGTTTAATTGGCATTTCCCCAATAATTACATATGCACATCTTTTCCTATGTTTATTGGTCATTCAGACTTTATATGAATTGAATGTCCATATCCTTCAACTCTATTACACTGTTACTAGAAACTGATTTGAAAGTTCTTATACAATCTAGATTCTAATCTTTTGTCAGTTATATTTTTGACGTATATCTTTTTCAGCCTATCAGCTTCCATTTTGCTTATAGTGCCCTTTGATGCATGGAAATGTTAAATGTAGAATTTAATCTATCCCTAATGACTTTGTGTGTCCTGCCAAACAAAGCAGTATCTACCACAGGCCCAGGCATGACAATGAATTTTGTCTCTACACTCTGACTTCTATTTCCACATGCTTCTCTTCCACAGATATATCTGTTTAAGTTCTCACACCGCTAGAGCTAATTTTCTCCCTTGTATCACTGCCATGTGCCTGCCAACAGAAAAGGGCTCTTATGTATGAACTTTGTTCCAACTCCACTGGGAAGTTCAGCATTTCTTTAAATTTCTAAATTAGAATCAAGAGCCCTTTCAAGTCCATCTTGTTATTTCATTATCCTTTTGGTCACACCACTTATCATTGAAAATTATGCATTTACTTTGTTTCCCCCAACACTAGATTATAAACCTCATGAAAACAGACTCTGCTATATCTCCAACACATAAAAGAAGAAACCAAAGTACAGCAATATAATTTACCCCCATCTTTTTAGATCTTCAGTCTTTTTCCTTACAAACTACAAAGAACAAGTTTATAAGATTACTAACATCTTATATGAGAAGCCAATTCTACTCTCTCCCCAGATTAAATCCTTATTAGAACTTAATGCAAATTAAATTAAGCTTTAGAGCAACCACAAATTATTTTGTGCCTTCACTAGATGAAATACCTGTTATTCAGGAGAAATCACCCCAGCACGATACTTTGATCTTGTAAAACAAACAGAATACGAAAAGACACCAGAAGAAAACTACATCAAGACACAACTTTTTTCCTTTTCTGTATTTCCTAAACTTCTTCTAAAATAATTTTATAACTTCTATAATTTGATTTTTTTTTCACTGAAAAACAGAAAAAGGTAAAAACATAGCAGATTTACTGACCCTTTTTCAACATTTTCTTTTTTGCAGTAGGGGAAGGTGAGGTAAGTCCAAATGCTGCATCTTCTTTAACCTTAGATGATCCCGCTAGGAAAAAAGGAACCCACAGAACTACTGAGAAATTCTAAAATTCTTTCCCGTGCTTTAGGGACAGTACTTTCTGAAGACAGGAGACGGAATACCACTTTTACCCTATCTTGAGAGCTTCTATTATTAAAGAATAATAATAATAATAATACATGGTGACAGAATTGCTACCTCTCGCACTAAGCATCTCTCCGGAGTAATCAATCATGGTAAGACTGTTCCTTCCTTAAAGAGGGTTGTGAAAGTAAGAGCAAGCATAAGCAAAGTGATTTAGCTCTCAGGTGGAAGAATTCTGTCAAAGAAATATATGTCTGACTCCTAATTATGAGGTTGCAAATTTTCACTTCAGTCCAAAGGTGATCAGTTATTTTCCAAATGCAGTATACTCTCTTCACTTAGAATACAATATGATCTAAATTAAAGGAAAATAAATATGCTTTTAAAATAAAAGGAAAAAAGTAAAGACATTAATTTTACACCTTTTGATCTTTTGAGTTTGTTATGGTTTATATCTAAATGTCCCCCTAAATATCTAAGTAACGGTGTCCTATCTCATAATCAGAGGTCAGGAACCTTTGAAAGATGACTGAATTATAGGGGCATTATAGCTGACTTGCTACCAGGAGATAATGTGATTATTTCCAAGATGGCACTCCCAATCTCATTTTGTTAATTATCATTTATATATAAAAATGTAGTTTTATAAGCAATAGAAAATTATTTTGTTTTCAAACTAGCCATTGAATTGGTCTCATTTAATTCATTAATATATATGGTGAAGTCCACAAAGAGTTTAAATGTAAACAGCAGCCAAACTTAAAACCTATTACTAAAAATTTCTAAGCAACAGAGATGCAAATGAGTGGGGTTTTACCTCACTAATTTAAGTGTACATTATGAGTACCGAGAAAACATACACATACCTTTCAGCCTTTTAGTCTCTGACTGCGCATTTTTCAGTTTTCCTAAAAATTCAACCAAAATAAACATAAAAATGGGTGCATGAGATCAGAATTTAGGATACAATATCAAATAAAATTTACTATATACTACCTTTTATCTTATGTGGCAATTCACTTGTTTCAATTTCCTCTGAATCACTGCTTTCAATGTACTGGGCAGCCATTTTTCTTCTAAAATTAAGCATAAAAAAGAAATTTTTTATAAACTCAAAACACAGTAAGAACATTGTTAATAAATGCAATGCCACTATTTTTGTCTTGCCTGTGTAGTTTTTTAAAAAATTTTGAGAAAGATGATGAGTAAAAAAGTCAAATGTGCTAAAAGCATTGTGCATTCACAACCAGTAAGATGTACTGATTTACAAACTGCAGGAATACTACTATTAAACTTGAAAAATTAAGTCATTTTAGAAATAATTAATTACAATATTGGGTTCATTCAGTAATTTAATTAAAACTTACATAAATCTAGAACAAAGAACTGCTTCATATTCATGAAAACACCGTTAATAATGAAGTGGCCAAAGGCAAAAATACGATCCTTTCATAATGAAAAACTGCATAAATCTTGCGCAGAAACACTGTAACAATGCTTAAGAGACTAAGACTAATGAATCCAGTAATGAATACAGTTAAAACACCTTCTGCTACAAATTTTCCATGGGACTTTTTTTAATAGTAAAGACTAAGCCCAAGGCCTTCCACTCCTAGCCCTTTTAAAATTTTTTTTTACTTTGTGACAGGGTCTTACTAAGTCACTAATTTGCCCAGGATGCACTGAATCAAACTTGCAACTCTCTTGCCTAAACTTCTCAGGGTGCTGGGATTTTAGGTAAATTTGTGTTATTCTATGCCTTAGCATACTCACTGTGAAAACAGGAGTTAAAAATAAAATCAACACAAGATAGGTCAAAATGTTAGTACACATGAAAGTCCTTAAAACAGCTCCTGTTGCACAGTAAGCCTATCTGTATTAGCTCTAAGGCATATGTTGGTGCTTATTATTTTTCCACATCATTTTATTTCCATATTCTTTCATCCGATCTAGTCCACATAACAGCGCTGTGACTGAGGTTTACGGTGGCTGAGACCTACAGATCTGAGGTTCAGATGAAACGAAGACCATGGGCACTGGTTTACGGCTCAGCTCAGACAATGCTAATGACACAGCTGACTGGCCACGGACTGGAAGTGCTCTGCTGTGTCAGTGAGACAGACAGTAGGACACACCTTCAGATACTGAAGGTGGGCTACACAGTGTAACAAAAGCCCAGTATTTCAACCAGCTGAGAGGGTAAATGAAGTTCACTGAGTTAAAACATTTCAAGTAGGATGAGAAGGAATAATGTGTTTAGTTCAAATTTGCCCTGCATGGTTCTAGTCTGTTAGTATAATACTTTCCCCAAGGAACTTTATCATGTCTATTCCCATTACTAATAAAGTAAAAATGAAGTGAAGTGAGCAAAGAATGTTTTTGTCAAGGTTTATTCAATTTTCATCCCTTAAAATCCATAAAGAAAACTGTGCTAAAGTTTCAACAAAAACAAACCCAGGATCTTAGTTCCTATGTGAAAGAAACAAGGAAAAAGTAAGTGGTAGAGGATGAGTGACTATTAAAAGTTAACAATTCGCTTATTTTATATATTAGTATACTTTTCTTCACTTATAAAAAATACTCCATTTGCCTAAGCCATAGTTATTTTAGCAATCTGAAACTTAGGCAGGGTGGTGCACGCTTATAATCCCAGCTCTCAGGAGGCTGAGGCAGGAGGACTGCTGTAAGTTCAAGGCCTGAACTGCATAGTGAAACCCTACCTCAAAGAGACAGACAAAAAACAAAAATTTAAAAATGTATGTAATGTAACTATGTAATTGAGGTACAATAACCATCTCATATACATATACATACAGACAGGCAAGCAGACATAGATACAAACAGAAGAAGGTTAAATAAACATACTTCATTTAATTAGAATCATAGCAAGAGTTTACCTTTTGGGCTGGGAACTAAAGAATTCTAATATGGAATGCTTATTCTTCTTGATATGTGAAATACTGGGTTCTTCATTACATCCAGATCCTTCTACTTCTAAGAAAACAAAATACAGATAACTGGCAAACTGTCTTAAACTAGTAATATTCCTCTTGCTCCAATTACTTATCTTCAGTTTTCTTAGCATCCTCACTTCTTTCAAGTCCCCTGTTCCTTCAGTGAAGCACATTTTTCCTAAACTAGTACTTTCCCATTACAAAGTACCTTCAGCTTTTTATGACTTTTTCCAGTGAGTCCTTACACTGGCTGAATTTCCCTCCATAACAAGCCAGCTAAGAGATGCTTAGCAGAGTGCAGGATACACACCCAGCTCGTCTATCTATTCTGTAGAATGGTCTATACATTGGATCTTCTGCTTAGATTCTAACTCTGTTTACTCTCACATGACCTTGTTCACTTTATAAGGAAAATCGGATGCCTGTTTTCTATAAAATTCCAGTATTTCCTACTTTTATCCCCTTACTTGTCTACATACTCCCACACTTACTTCTTTTTCCCTCTAATGTTAACTCACTCAGCTATTCTTGTTTCCATTCCATCCTACAGGTCTACTAGTTATTCTCTCTACTGCATCCAAAAATATCTTCCAACCCACAGATTTCTTCCCCACAACACAAAACAAAACCCATCCCTCAAATCTGTTCTCTTGAAATGTTTCCTACCCCAAACTTAAATAGTACCGTTATTTCCAGTTCTTCACCTACTATTCTTATCTGAAATACTTTCTGTCTGACTCTGCTTTACACTATCTTCAGAAATTAATTTTGTGAAGATCATTTAACTGCTAAAATCATAGACAGATTTCTTTTCATTTTGCCAATGACTTCAGAATTTCACTCAAACCCACCTTTCTAGCTTTACCAGCTACTATCCATGACACTACACTATAAATACCATAAAATACACTGCAGTCTGAGAACAAAACATGCTCCCTAATTTTACTTCTCCCATGTCCTTTCAATGAGTTGTTTTTTCAACCGAAGTGCTCTTCTTTCCTAGCTTTTCTGACTTTTCTTATCATGCAGTTAAATCTCCTCCTTGATGAAACCCTTGCTGACTACCAATTCTCACAAGGATATTTAGAAAGAAATCCTACATTTTTTGTATTACAACCCAGAACTGGAATTACATAAGTAGTCTGGAAAATATAACTCAAGAATCAGGTCATCTTTAAAATTTAAGCCTACCTTTGCTTCGGCCATCTGCATTTTCACTGGCACTGTTTCTTCCAAGCTTCACAGACTCCTGGTTAACATCACATTCCTTACATTCCTGAGTGAAAAGGTACATTTTTTTAATGGTACTACAGTCAGTTTTAACACATTAACACACTCAGCTATAAAGGATACACCTGAGACATTTTTAGGTAAATGGACACTTCTTGAGACCATATTCTTAAGTGAAATAAATGAAACACCCATGTATAAATACCGCATTGCTCCCAACTTGGGCACAGTGCTGAGGAGAGAGGTGAATAAGTAAAGATTATACAAACTGATTTAAAACTTTTTTCACCAATGTATCAAAAGCAAAAGCTAGGTGGTTTTTATCTTCCAAAAAAAAACAGAAAAAGAAAATTTCTATTACTGTGAGAAAATGCATGAAATGGGATTTACTTAAGAATTCCCATCCCTGTGAAGCATTTGCCCCAGCCAACTCCGTATCTGTGGATTCCATGCTTTGCTGTGGCCATTCACCAACTCTAAGCCTGCTACGTTTTATTTCTCCTCTGCAAGGACCATCAGAGGCTCCAACTAACACGTCAGCATGATTGTTGATAAGGCCAATGTCCCTCAAGAGAAAGTAAGCCCTAGAGTCAACAGCTCTAAGAAAAAATAACGGAGCTGGCCAGTAGTGGTAAACTCAAGAAAAAGCCATAGCTATGGAAAACTACAAAAATAGTGTGAATTTTACTTGAAAAGTGACTAGATCCAAAGGGCCCAGGCAGGCTAAGGAGATTGCCAGTGACCCCCTCCCTCCACTGGGAGGACTCCAACTGGCCAGATTGACTGTGGCTGAACCCTCCTTCCATCCGGAGAGCCCAGGGGTGGGGGTTAGAGAGACTGACAGTGATAAGCAGGGCCTCAACTGGGGCAAACACGCTAAGAAGGTGGGATTAGCAGCCTGGAAAAATCCGAAGCAGCAGCAACAATATGAGCCAAAGTGGGTAAGTGAGGTGAACCAGCCCACTACTTGAGTTCAAAGACATGCGGAACAGAAGCAGGCTGGTAGGGCTCCCCAGTGCCCCCATTTTTGTTGTTTTGTTTTAGTTTTCCCTGTTCTATTTTGTCCTGGTTTTGCTTTTCTCTATGTTTGTTTGTTTGTTTTTACTGTTTGTGGTTATTTTTGTTTTCTGGGTTTCTTTTCTTTCACAACTTAGATCTCTAACCTTCCTTTTGGTTTACTACTAATCATCCTCTTCCTTCCTTTCATCCACTGCCTTGCTTGATTTTTTTATGATACCTGAATGCGAATAAACATTATCTCTTCTCCTTAAGGTGCACATCAATACTCCTAGGCTTTCTCTTCCAACCCTTCCCTCTCGCATCCTAAGACTACTCAAAACATGGATGACCACTCTTTACCCTCCAGCCTTGTTCCTACTATATTTAACCCCATTCATCTCTCCATCCTACCTCCATCCCTCTTAAACCCCCCACAACTCTAAATTATACTACAAAGCTATTGTGATAAAATCAGCATGGTATTGGAAAAAAAAAAAAAAAACAAGACTTGAGGATCAGTGGACCAGAATAAAAGATGCAGATGCAACTCCAAACACACTCATCCACCTTATCTTTGACAAAGGAGCCAAACATGTTCACTGGAGACAGTCTCTTTAATAAATGGTGCTGTCTTTCCATATGCCAAAGACTAAAACTAGACCCATGCCTATCACCATGCACTAAAGTCAAAATGGACCAAGGATCTAAATATTAAAACAGAAACACTAAAATCTACTGGAAGAGATAATAGCTGTAAGTCTTGAAAATAGAGATTTAGGCACAGACTTCATGAACAAAACCCAGACTGCATGGGAAATACTACGAAGAATCAACAAATGGGACCTCACCTTACTAAATGGCTTTTTGCGCAATGAATGAAATCACCAACAGAGTGAAACGACAACCCACAGAGTGGGAAAAAATTATAGCCATTGTCCCTCAGACAAAGGACTTATATCTAGAATAATGAACTGAAAAAATCAGGCCTCTCAAATTCAAAGACACATTACAGAAACAGGCATCTGAGATGAATACACACTTCACAAAGAAACACAAACAGCAAATAAATATATGAAAAAATATTCAGCATCACTGGTCATTTGAGAGATGCAATTTAAAACAACACTGAGATTCCATCTCACTCCAGAAAGAACAGCTATTATCAAGATATCAACCAATAACAAATACTAGAGGGGCTGTGGAGAAAAAGGAATTCTTCTCCACTGTTGGTGGGAGCATAGACTGGTGCAAGCACTGTGGAAATCAGTGTGGAGATTCCTCAACGAACTAGGATTTGAGGTCCCATGTAGGTATCTTCCCAAAAGAATTAGAAACATCATACCCAAGGCCGCGAGTGGTGGCGCATGCCTGTAATCCCAACACTCGGCAGGCTGAGGCAGGAGGATTCATTGCAAGTTCGAAGCCAGCCTGGGCTACAAAGCGAGCTCAAGGCCAGCCTGAACTGTATAGCGAGACCCTGTCTCAAAAAAAAAAAAAAAAAATATATATATATATATATATATATATACACACATATACCCCAGTGATATATGTACACTCATGTTTACAGCAGCAAAATTTGTAATAGCTAAATCTTGGAAACAATCTGAATGCCCATCAGTGGAAGAATGGATACAAAGATGTGGGTTTTTTTAATATAATGGAATATTACTCAACCATACAGAAGGATAAACTTGCTCTTTTATAGGTAAATGAATGCAACTCAAGACCATACTCATAAGTGAAATAAATCAGACCCACATGTGTAAACACGGTATAGTCTCACTAGTATGAGAAGCTGACAAAGTAAACAGGACCCAAAATCTACAACGGATGTTGTGAGTTGGGAAAAAACTCTTCAAAAGAAAAGAGAAACTGTTATGAGGGAGAGGGTAAAGGAAAAAAGGGAAAAGGAAAAATAAAATAGCTAAGATAGTTATACTGCTAGTTTCTCTTAGTTCACTGAAAAGAAAGGTTTGTGCTAATGATGTTTGGACAGTATCTCATGCCTGTGTCTTGTACCCTGAGTACTTACTCTGAAGGTAACAATACGCAATGTACTAATTATTGTTAACTTCCTATTATCTTCTTTTGAAATTCTGTTTTCTGCCTTTTAAAATAAAATTTTTTTAGCGCTTCTTGGCCCTTTGGCTAAAATCAAGTGTAGCATCTGTTCTTATCAGTTTAATATAATTTTTTAAAGTGACTGAAGGGAAAGCTAGAGTTGGAGAAGAAACCTATTACAGCACTTGCCATACTGCCACGGAGTGTTTAATCAGGCACCTTTTGGGGAAGGGGTTAATAACAGACTACACCACAGAACTATAGAACAATTCCACGTCAGCATTTCCAGCTTTAACATCCTACCATGACTTAGTAAAAAAACAGCCTGGGAGGAAACTGTGGAGAGGATAAAGGCTAGAGATAGATCCCCTGAGAAGTTTAAGCTCAGGCCGTGAAGGACACAGACCCCAGCCTTTGTGGAAAGACCCAGTGAGTGTGGTTTCCAGAGACGGACTGACCTGAAAGTGCTAGCATTAAGTCCAGCACTCTACTTGAACCGCCATCACACTGTATACATCCAGCAGAGAGCATTAGTCTGATCTACCAAGTGTGCAAGGACACACTTCAGCTCAGACCATTGGCCATAGTCTGGTGTACAGACAGAGGGACCTATGGAGCAAGGGGGCACCTCACAAACTACAGGAGGTGAAGTAAGGTAAGCAAAGGGTAACTTGCTGGATTCCAAGACTACAGATCCTAGAAAGAAATCACTCATTCAAAAAAACAAAGGAAATTTTTTACTCAGTATTTCTTTATTTTTCTTTCATTTGTTTTTTGGCAGTTAGGGGCTCTTTTATCCTTTTTTACTTTTTCTTTTCTCCTTTTAATTCTTTTTTCCTTTGTTTTATTCTGCTTTTTTTCTTTTTTCTTCTTTTTCTTATTTGTTCTTTCCTGTTACTTTTATCTAATTCTTTTAAATTATCACTTCTTGGCCTTTTGGCTAAGATTAAGTGTAATTCTATTAAATTTCCTTTTATTTGACAGAAGCTTTTATCTCACCTCTCTCTCCTCCTTCTCATCTTCCACTGATTAATTTTTCAAATTCTACTTTTTTATTGCTATTGCCTGGGCATCAAAGGAAAGGAATTCAAAAGCCATACAGCTCAATTATTCAAAAGGATAACGAAGGAGATTTTTAAAAGATCAATAAGGTGCTCAGGTGAGCTCAATGAAGATGTAAACAGATACAGACTTTATCAAGTGATCCACAAGTTTAAAGACACTAACAAAAAGCGAGTTTAAAGACACTAGCAAAAAGACGTAAGCTGAACAAAAAGGTACAAATGATGAATGACCAGTTTAGCAAAAACTTACCGTCCATAAAAAGGTACCAAAAAAGGAATTCAGGAGATTAAAAATCCTACCGAAACTATAGGCAGCAAAGGCAACTAATGTGAGGACAGTATCAGAAATAGATGACAGAGAGGTTGTTGGAGATCAGTTATTCAGATACCTTAAAAACCCACAAGACAAGACGAAAAGGGGATCCAACAGGTGCTAGATAAAGCAAAGAACACTAAATTAACTGAAATTAGTGAAAAACCAGAAGACAACATAAATGGCACTTTAAAAAAGACATTTACAAAAGAGCAAAAAACTTTCCAAATATGGAGAAAGAATTTAACAGATAAGTGAGAGATATTCAGAGTCCCAAACAGCCACACTCAGAAAAGAACTCCAAAACACATCGTTGTCAAAATGCCAAAATCCAACCCAAGGACTGAATCTTAACAGCTATTAGAGAATTTCCAAAGAGAAACCCATTAGAATTATAGCAGACTTCTCAAAACAACATTAAAGGCCAGAAGATCTTGGAGTGAAGGGTTTCAATTCCTAAAAGAAAACCTTCAACCAAGATTTATATATCCTATAAAACTATGTTTTAAAATTGATGGGAGAAATAAGAGCTTCCTGTGACAAAGAACATCTCACCCCAAAAACTTCTCCAGGATATCCTGGGGAAAAAAAATGAAGCAAAGAATG